ACTTGACCTTTGACCTGCTTTCACGTTTCTGAGCTCTGACGAGATACCTTTTCACAATGCTTTACTTTTTCAAGGCTCGTGCTGCTTTATTTTTACAAGGCCTGAGGCCTATATCGGGTAAAGGCCCTTTTAAATATAATATTTATATTATATATATATTTCCTTAGGCTACTAACCAGGTCGTCCATGTCATTTTGGTTACCAGGACGTCTCGTCCAGGCAAAGTTTAGCGTAGGTTCCTCATTTATAAAAATAAATAAATTTTAAATAAGTGATAAATTATAAAATAAATTAGTAATTGATGGTATAAATCATCGATATTCTTCATATTTTGGTCAAACTTCTTATGTGACTATTGTAAATTGACTAAGTTTTTGTCGTCAAATCATAAGCTAAATGGCAGAACCTAATAATTAATGGAGGTTAGATAATAATAAAAAACATGTGCAATAATTTTAATGGTTATTACAAGGTGCTCCTCGCACAATACTAGTATAACCATGACCAACATGTATGCCTATAATATAACATTTCATTATATATTTTTTTTTCAATTTAACTATTAATTAATGTTTCTGTAATTGTTTAAACTATCAATGCTGCGGTATTAATGCGATGGACTGTATTTTTTCTTGAAGTTTCAACTATTTGGTTAGAACACCACCTATTGGAGTGAAATTTATGGCTCGGCCTACCGAAGTGAAATTCTTGGCAACACCTATCAAACAGTTCTGCGTTTGTAGCGATTTGATAAAATTCACACATTGCAAACATTGGCGTTGGGAAAAGGAGGCTCAAAAAGTAGTTATGGTTTGCTGGATGCTTTCATCCTCTTAGAAAAATGACCATGCCATACTCAAACCGTTTGCTCTAGATCCAATAGTCAACATTTGAAGGTGACTTTTCTTTTTTTTTGTTTCTCCCCTGCACTATGACCATCGTGCCGCTACCTGTCCAGTTCACTACCGCTTATTTACCGCTATATTCTTCTGAAGACGGCCTTTGGCAAATTAGGGGAAATAAGGCTAAATCTTCCACCTGCCAGCCTTTGGATGGAAGCTGCCACATGCTCATCATACGGCAGCGCATCATCGCACAACATCAAAGGCAGCCGCACAGGCATGAGGGTCAACCCCTAGTGGGACCTTACCCTAGGAAGAAAAGGGGTGGAGGCATGAGGGTCAACCCCTACAAGGTAGTGGGACCTCACCCTAGGAAGAAAACGGGTGTAGGTGAAATCCCAGATTATCTAATGAACAAGGTTCCAGATCGCTAACGAACAAGGCCCCACTGAGCCGTGTCTATTGTCCAACGGCGCCCACACAGGCACGAGGGCCAACCCCTACTGCTCGTGGGACCTCACCCGAGGAAGGAAAGGGGTGGAGGTGAAATCGCAGTCCCAGATTTGCTAATGGACAGGCCCCACTGAACTGAGTCCATTGTCCAAGTTTTGGAATCCAACGCACGTTATCCCAGGCCGATTTTCATATTTTCATTCTGACCGTCAGATTCGCGGTTGAAGACCCAGACGTGGTCCAGCGGGGTCTGGCCCTTTTCTGCCTTCTGCACAGCGGTGGGCATCGAGGACGGAAAATCTCTGCTGAAGTCTTTTTGAGAAGTAAGGAAGCAATCTTCTTCCTTCTTTCACCCTCCCGGCAAACGACTAGCTCTGGGTGTTCTCCAATCCGCGCGAGGAATTAGCAGCCATGGTGAGTGATGGTTTCCATGGACAGGAGTGCTGCTCTCGGCTGGCCTTGCTATCGATTCCCCCCCCTCCCCCCCGGCCCGTCCTTCTCTCTCTCTGTGTCTCTCTCCTATTCATCACGTCGCCATCTCAACATGTAAAAGGGATATGAACTCCGTAGTTTTCTGCATCATTGGTACTATACGGTGTTTGTTTCGTTGACACGACTTTTCCTCGCCGGAAGGAAGCATGATCTTCTCCTCCTCTACGCGGCACGCCCTTTTGCCTCAATTTCGCAGCTGATTGATTATTCACCCCCTGGTCGTCCGTTCTGGTTAGGTGAGGGCGGTGCTTTCTGCAGTTAGGGTTTCGGCGGAAGGCGGGGAAGAAGAGGAATCGTGAAGCGTTGAAGTCCTCAAGATCTTACGGTTTTTGCTCTCTGATTGATGTCTGGAAGACTATTGTGTGTATTTTGTTGAAGCGAAAAACGGAAGCTCGGACTTGCATGGCAATTCGATGTTTTTGGTACTCATCCATGGGCCTTGGCCCACAAGAAAATGTATCTGACGTGATGAATGTTGGTGGAATGATCGTGGAATGATCATGGAACAAACAGGGTAAAGGTACGGGAAGCTTCGGCAAGCGCCGGAACAAGACACACACGCTCTGCCGGCGATGTGGGCGGCGAAGTTTCCACATCCAGAAGTCGAAGTGCTCGGCATGTGGATATCCTGCAGCACGGATTCGCAAATGTGAGTTAATGGGATCCTCACCATTTGATCATTTGAAGTCGGTATTTTTTCAATCGTTCTTCCTTCTGCAAAGGCGTGACATGGTTATGTGAAGTTGCTCGGAGCCCTTCAGTCCTCCTGCCAGTCGCCCCTTGTCTCACCTTCTTTATCCATCTCTTTGATCTCTTCTTGGGCTTCTGTTCCCCAATCAACCTCTACTCTTCGCCTCCATACTCCCTGTCATTTTCCCTTCCATCATTTCCTCCCTTGTCCCTTCTCATTTTCCCTTCCCGCCGTCCCTCTTACTTTCCCTTCCTCGTTTTTTCTAAACTTTCTCGATCTTCTTGCTCAGTTTTCCCCTGTCATTTCACCTCTCGCTTTTTCATTCTGTTCCCTGTCAATCTCACCCTCTCATCTTCCCCATCATCTTTCTTCTCTTGTGTTCCCTCTTTGGTTTCTCTTCTTTCATGTTTGATGTATCACGTTCCCCATCTGCCTTCTTTCTCGCCTTTATCACAACTCACCGTTCTCAGAGCCTGCGATTCTTCCCTCGTGCTCACCTGCTCCTGCTCTCCTCTTTCCCTTCTCCAGTGTTTTTCCCGACAGTGCTCCCCTTTTCTCTATCTACTGCCCGTCCCTCTGCCCCCTCCTGCTCATACCCGCCTTTCTCGCCCGTTCCCTTCTCTACTATGCCGCTCTTCCATCCCTCCTCTCTTCCGCTTCTCTTTGGTGTCCTACCAGCTGTCCATTCTGCCTTCTGCACCATCTTCCTATCTTGGTCGATGGCATTTACTTCCTCCGCCGCCGCGTTTTTTCTCATTCTTCCGCCTTCCTGCCCTCCCTTCCCTCGTTGTCCTCAAGTCCTCCGTCGGGTCGTCCTTTCTGCTCTCCCTCTGTACATCACGCTCACGTTCACATTCCGACATTTTCTCGTTTCTTTACGCCTGCCCTAACCTATCCTGCCCTCTCTCTTCCCTCCTTGAGCCCTCCATCGGTTCTTCCTCTCTGCGTTCCCTCTTATGTCACGTTGGCGTTCACATTCCCGCCTTCGCTTTTCCTTGCGCCTGCCCTTACCTATTCCTTGGCGCCTGCCTTTACCTATTCCTTGCCAACATCTCTCTCTCGCCCGTTTTGTCCTCCCATTGCGACACTTTTGCTGACCTTGTTTTTGGCCTCTCCTTTTTCTGTCTCTAGACTTCACTCTAGGTACCGTCTTCCTCTATTCTCTTCTTTTTGTGTCTGTTGCCGTCTGGGGTTTGGCACTCTTTCGTTCCCTTTCTTTGGCGACATCTTTTCTCTTCGTTTTCTAATATATGTTTTGGTTATGGGTGGACTTCACAAGGCTCATCTATTCTTAAACGACCAGCACACGGCCCAGCCTTGCTGAAAAGAAACTGTCACCCGTTGGGAAAGTACGTCCTGGGCTGCCTTCGATGTTCCATCGGCGGCCTTTGTTGCGTTTCTGGTCTCCGAAGGGGCCCGGGGCCGATATATGGTGTGCACTGGCGATTTATTAAGCTCCTGCTTGATTGGTCTAACCCTGGTTTAACCTGCTTGTGTTCTCAACCCGTCCTCGTGGAGACTTTATGAACTGTATGTAATATCTTGTGTATAGCTTCATCGCCGCCCATCCAGTGCTTCCTGCCATCTGCGATATTCGCTTACCCTACCTCCGCAATGCCCCTTCCTCCACATGTGTGCAGTGATTGGCGGTCTCTCATTCTTTCTAGTAGTTTCACCGAGCTCCTTTCTGCGTGGGCCGTTATGGTACTATATCTCTCGGCCTCCTCCCAGCTGGATCTTTTGACCCTCCCTTCTGCTTGGGACGTTGTGGTACTATGCCTTTCTGCCTTCTCCCAGCTGGATCTCTTGGCCCTCATCTCCTCTCTCACCTGTGATGACGCAACGTCCTTATCCCCACATGTAGGCAATGATTTGCGGTCTCTGCTTCTCATTGTTTCACCCAGCTCCTTTTTTGGTTTGGCCGTTTTGGTACGTACGATTTCTGTCGGCCTTCTCTCGGCTGGCCCTCTTCTCTCACCTCTCGTCACGTTCTTAGTTCCTCTCGTCTTCTTCGCTGTCCCCACCTTTCGATCTCTCATTCGTGTCTTCTCCACCTTGAGCCATTTTCTCGCTCCATCTCCTCTATATGGGACGCGACTTCATGTTCGAATGCCGTCGATTGTAGTCAGTTCCCACGCCTGCTGGAGTGTCCTGACTCTTCCTGTTGACGATATTACTTCCTTTCAGAAAACAAATGGACGAACATGCTGTCGGTTGCAGTCGGTTCCCACGCCTTCTTCTTCTTAAGTGTCCTGACTCTTTAAGTGTCCTGACTCTTAAGTGTCCCGACTCTTAATTGTCCTGACTCTTCCTGCTGACGGGATTCCTTTATTTCGAAAAACAATTGGATTGTTTCTCGATTTTTTATGCGTGTCATTCTTGCGGAGGGGACATCCTTTCTCCCAGGCAGGTTGCGGTTCTCCATAATGATGTTGCGCTCTTCTGAGTCTTAATTCTCTCTCTGAAATTGTTCTACCCCGTCTTTTTTCGTCGAATGGGTTCTTTCTACTATGGACTTCGCGGTTCTTTACAAGGGGATGTTGAAATATGTTGTTTCTTAATTCTCTCTCTGAACTGGTTTCATCTACCCCGTCTTTTCTCGTCGAATGGGTTCTTTCATCTATGGAGTTTGCGGTTCACAAGGGGATGTCGCAATATGCTGTATTTCTTAATTCTCTCTCTGAGCTGGTTTTATCAACCCCGTCTTCGTCCGTCTCCTTGATGAGATTCTCTTTTTTATCAAAGTTGCAGGTGTTTTTCCTTTCGTCTCTCCCCGTGTCCTTGATTGGATTCGTTTTTCTATAGATTTGCGGTTCTTTACCCGTCTTCGATTAAATTTGTGGTCTTCCATGAGGATGTTCTTCCGCTCTTGTGTTTTCATGACACGAACCGTCTTGCTAAGGAGGTCAATAATGCGAAACGGCATCCTGATTCTTTTTCTGAACCTACTGGATTCCGTCTTCTGTTGTCATCGATTGAGTTCTTCTTCCGTGTATTCGATGTGCGGTTCTTATTTAAATGAAGTTTGCGCTGTGTTCCCTTTATTTATGTTAAAGCCCTCTTGCTAATAAGCTGTCTATGATTCGAAATGCAGTTAACTGGAGTCAGAAGGCCATTCGCAGGAAGACGACCGGGACAGGGAGGATGCGCCACCTTCGGACCATGCCCCGAAGGTTCAAGAACGGCTTTAGGGAAGGTATGTTGGAACGTAGCGATGTCTGCCAAGTGCTCGGTTTTGGGAATGGTCTGTTATTCCCTGTCTAGTATTTCTCGATTCGCGAACTCGTGATCCATTCATTCATGGGATTCAATCGTTTGTCTAGTTTGATTGCACGTGTTTCGTATTTGATTGTTCTTTTTCAATTTGAGGGGCGCTCATTGTTAGAACCCTAGTTATCCTGTCTACCGTCTTCACCGGAATAAAACACGCCCGGTGATTATAGCTGCATCTGGACTGAAAGTTGTGCCAAATGCAGCAGCAGCTTTAATGACCGGGCGTTCTGTTCGGGTGGAGTTGGTAGTCATGGTCTATTCGTGGGACTCGATTGTGTTCGAATGCAACACATACTGTTGTTTGTCGCATTTTTGGATTGTATTGTTCGATTTGAGGGGTGGTCAGTTAGCCATGACGGAGGTCGGTTGTCAGAAAAGTCGGAGTGTTGTCTTGAACTGCGTGGATCTCGACAGTTTCTGACCCTTGGAAGTTAGGGTTTCCTGACCTTGCATAACAGAAAAACCGTGTTCTGAAGGCGATCCTGCCAGCCTTTCGATGATCTCAACGCCGTCCAAAAGACACAGCATGTCTCACGGCATCCGTGTCTAGATTACTGCGGCTGTGGTGCTTAAGTGCGGGCTTCAAGCAGGTTTATAAGCCCTTTCGATTGGGGTTGATCTTCCATGTCCAAGGGTTTTTTCGGTGATGGAAGTCCTACGCAGTAGGGTTTGTACGCTGCTTTGTTTTCCGGTCAAAGAGCGAGTCTTTGTATCTCAGAAACCATTCCGTGGTCCAAATGTAGGTGGGGAAATCATGTCCAGCTCTCAGTATTCTATGTTGGTCAATTTTGTCAAAAATGTGCGAGAATTTCCACCCAGGGGGTCTAAAATTTGGCGGGAAAATAATGTTTGGCTTTTTGGAATTAAAAACTCCGGAGGTCTCGTGCGCACGCTCCCATATAGCATGTACAGATTCACTGCCGTCACGAATTTCTTCAGCGAGCAGCTGACTGATAGCCCTTCAGTATTTAATCTCTTATACATGTTCGGAGATCCAGGGCGGTAGGACCCGCAAATCATAGTCTGTACTGCACCGTCATTTGTTTGTTTCAGTTTTTTCGCATTTGTAAGGGCCAGATTCCACATCCTTATTGTTCATTTCTGACCGTTGATCGTCGTAATCGAGGGTGAGAAACGGATAATCCAGGGTAGTGGGTTCTGACCCTAATGCTGTTTTGGAAAGGTAGTTTTCGTGTCTGATATCGGATAAATGATCAAAGAACAATGTTTTAGTCGTTTGAAAGTCAAAAATGAATTGTCAACGACGATTCGATTCCTTATGGAAATGAGTACGCAAAATCAGTATGCGGTTGACAATTTCTCGATTCCTTACGGAATGGAGTCTCAATTGCAAAATCCATTGGCTTTCGTTTTGTTTTTCGCATCCAGAAGAGAAGATATGCGGTTGATTTCGAACAAATGGTTGAAGAACGAAACTTCAGTCGTTTAAAAGTGCGGAATGGAAAAGATCTCTTATGGGAAAGCGCACGCGAAAACAGTCTCTCAATTTACTAAGTCCGTTCTTTTTTTGTTGCCTTTTTTGTTTCGAAAAGAGAGGAGAAATGTGGGAATACGGTCTGTTCTCTTTGTCTCGGCTATAAATATGCATGTATCGTCGAACAGAAATTCCCGGGAAACCGTAGGCAGAGAGGGAGGGAGAAGGAAGACTACAAACGAGGGGCTGTGACGAACTGCTTCGTCTGAGTTTGACCGACTCAGCAGGAGGCTGAACCGTCGAAAATATATATATACGAATTGATATTTTTCTTTACTCTCTGATTCGCCTTTGCGCTCTGATATCTCTATGACGATGTATATATTTGTGCTTGCATGTGGGACTTGTCATCCGGGATTTGTTTTGTTGCCCCCTGTTCTGTTTGGTTGGGCTGTTCCCTTCCTCTTTTCTTTGCCTCTTTGCCTTTTGGCTGTGTGCAAGTGGGTCGATATGATACACGGGGGTGGGGGCAGCCGCCGCTCAACGTACATCCACGTGGGCGGCCTTGTACGCAAGAGGTTCTGAACAGGCGGAGTTGTAAAGAAGATAAAAAAACGAATTCATTTTTTCTTCTTTTCCTTTTTTTCGCTTTTGCGCTCTGATATTCATCGGCCAATGTCCTATCTGCCGAGGTGGGGGCAGGTAAAGAGAAAAAGAGAAAAAAAGAAAAAAGAAAGGAAAAAAGAAAGGAAAAAAGAAAAAAAGAAAAGATACGTTGATCTGTGGGATGTGTTGTTTGCTTTGTGATAATTGGATTATCTTTCTTTCCCTATCTTTCTTTCCCTGTCAGGTTTGGTTTCCTCCTCCCCTTCTTTACCTCTTTGCCTTTTGGCTGYGTGCAAGTGGGTCCTTGTGACACACGGGGATGGGGGCAGCCAGCGCTCAACCTGTCATCCACGTGGCTGGCCTTGTACGTAAGAGGTTATGAACAGGTGGAGCTTTCCTTACCTCCTTCCCTTTCCCTTTTTTCCTTTTCCTTTTTTCTTTTCCCTTTTTTGCGCTCTGATTCACAATGTGACAATATATATATTGTCACACTGAAATTCAGAGCGCGAAGGCGGAAAAAAGCAAAAGGAAGGAAGGAAAGCGCCACCTGTTCACTACCTCTTGCGTACAAGGCCAGCCACGTGGATGACAGGGTGAGCGCTGGCTTCCCCCACTTGCACGCAGCCAAAAGGCAAAGAGGTAAAGAAAAGGAGGAAACCAAACCTGACAGGGAAAGAAAGATAATCCAATTGTCACAAAGCGAATAACACATCTCACAGATCAACATTTTTTTTATTTATTTTTTAATTTTATATATGATTACGGTTTGTTGATTTGAGTGTTTGGTTTTGTATGTTATGGCAGGCACCCAGGCCGCTCCGAAGAAGAAGGTCGCCGCAGCAGCCGCTCATTGAGTGCGTTGAGGGAGTTTTGGCCGAAGTGCAGTGATGATGTAAAGGGGGAGAGGCAGAGGGAGAGGTCTCGGAGTAGAGCGAGATGTGCAGAGATTTGCAGAGATGCGCAGACGTCTTCGTCATAGAATGAGAGCCTAACTCGTCGTCGATTCCATTTTTTCCGCTCTCCGAGGTATAAAATATGGGTGAGTTTGTTCCCGTTATCAGGAGTAGGTTGAGGGTTCAAATTCGTTTGTCCGCTCTCGACGTGACACGTTTGCAAGCGAATTGAGATCGGTGTCGTCACCGAATCTTTCCGTCGGCTGACTCGAGTGGAGATAGTGGGGGTGGGGGTGGAAGGAAGGAGGATTGTTCGCGCTCTCGCTCGCTTTGAAGAGGCGACGCGGTGGACTTATCATCCTGTGATGGGGACGTAAGAGTGGAGGAGGGAGGGGTGGTTGGTTTTTGACGACGATCTTGTGGATGGAACTAGTGAGATGGGCTCTGATTGATCCGAATGACAGCCGTCGAAGATGCTGTGAGTTTTTTCAGTAATTCAATTCCATTAGTCGTGTGCGGCATCGAAATCTTTGCACTTTCCGCGAAGAGAAATTTTCTTCTTTGTAATGTTTGTCGTCGATTTGTGTGCCGCCGGTCTTTTTTTGTATGCGTTTTTCGGGATTTGGGGTTGCCTTTGGAAGACATGCCTACCTCACCTCTCCCAGCCAAAGTTTTGGCCAATTCTTCAAAATTTGTCCCTCCTGTAAAATTTATACAACATGGAACAACCCAAGTGCAGCAGCCGCCCAGTTGGTTGGGCGACATATTGGACGCCAGCGCATTTGGGGGGCGGGGATGGTCGCTGAGGGACTGGGTGTCACTGGAGTCTCCCGGCTTGGAATGCCCCGCTCTGCCTTGCGTGTGTTTGTGGAGTGTGATTATAGCGCTGGCCAGCAGGGTAGGGCTTGCTTATGCCTAGTCTGCACAACCTTTATAAATTTAAAAAATCGAAGGATAAGAAAATCCCAGAGGAAGGACTGGTCGAGAACAGGACCTGTTCTGTAGGTCGTACTTTCTTTTGTATCTACAAATACAGATGATGGGTCAAAACAGGATGATGAGTGGAGAATCCCACTGCAGAGCGCGGCTGCTGGGAGGGTGGGTGTTTTGGCGTCCGCCTGCCATAGATGAACCCAATAGACCCACCGGCACTGCGCGCCAAGCTGTTCCGAGCCGCCAGCGGCGGACGTTTTTTCTTTCTTTGGCTGGCGCCGAGTTGATTTGTTGTTTCCTTGTTTTTTTTTTTTGTTTTTTTAGTCGCATTTTGTTTTTACTATTATTAGATGCATTTTGTGAAAGGCTGCGGCCAGGTGCTGGCGGTTAAAAAAACAGAAGCCCAGAGGAGGACTCGTCAATGCGTCAGTTTTCTTTTCCATAACTCTCTCTGTTCCTATCCGACCTTCCCCCGAATTGAACGCACTGTCATTATCACTATATCTAGATCGATAATCGCTTCAAATAATAGACTACTATAATGACCGTACGTTCTATTCCGGGTAAGTGACCGCATCCGTTTTCTCTGTACACTCTCAATGCATCTGACCATAATTTCGTCCGGACCTAAGAGGCGTATTATTGGGAGCGGCATTTCCTGTCCTGGTCATGGAACTCTTCTTTGTTCATTCATTGGTGGCTATTTTTAGCTGTTGTCCTACATTTGACTCTATATCGATATCGTCTTGACCCGAATAGAACGCCCGGTCATTATAGCTGATGATGTATTTCGTGAAACTTACGGGAATAATGACCGGGCATTTTATTCGAGCGAAGACGGTAGTCGGTTACTCGAGGATCTTTAGGGTTAGGGTTTTCTCGGAAAATGTCGGCGCGCAGTGGGATCGCTATTGATGTTTATGGCCTGTTGATCTGAACTCCCCCGCTTCTATCTCATATCAATCCCGTGGTTCTCCCTCGCTCAGTGGCATCTCTGTTTATGTCTATGGCTTGTTACGACGAACTCCCTTGCTCCTATCTGCAGCAGTGTTCATCCGACTAACTGGTTATGAATATAGAAATTGTATGGGTCTATTCGCTTGTCTATCTCAATCCGCGTGTTCCGTATGCTACCTTTTATGCACAAGATCCCATCTGGTTTGGTGATCTTGCGGACCAAAGATCTGTATCCAGACCTTCCAAGGTCGGGGCCGCAGAAGTACGGCCATCTGAATCGCCGATTAAAAAAAAAAGGAAAAAAGTACGTGATCGTGTTGTTGAAAAGGATGGCGCTTGAAAAGAGAAGCAACCTCTTATGGTACTCGAAGTCGGGAGTAATTGGTTGGTCAGACCGTACGTCGGAATCTCCATGACCAGGTGCAGATCATGCTGGACATTCACTTGGGCACCGGGCTCGTCCAGCTGCATTTTGACAGGCCGTCAACCAGGGGGCCTTGTTTGTCTCAGTCGCTTGGATCTGCGTGTCCAGGTACATTCTGAGAGCGACGCCGACTGAACGAAGGCGTTGGTTGTCATTTCCACATGTCGCCAATTGAACCAAGCCATTACGAACTGAATGTGTTTGAACCAAGCCATTACGAACTGAATGTGTTTTATTACTAATCGATTATTCTGACTGGATATGTGATACGCGGCAGAAGATCGTTGATGGGAGCGGAAAGCTAGGAGAACCACCTCCTTTTTCCCTTCAATCAAGGGACGTTGAACGTGTAGAGCTGCTTCAACACCCCCGCCACCGGCCCTCCTCCCCCCTCTCTGCCGCCCCTCTGTCGCGCTCCGTCACACTTGCATAGGGATGTGTAGATTTGAACACCTACCGCTGTTTTTAGTATTCACCTGAATGTGGAGATACTAATACGAGTATGCATCATATGCTGTATGAGTAATTCACAGAATTCTGTGCCACAGAGAGAGAGAGAGAGAGAGAGAGTTAAATTGGTGCAGTGCAGCTCTCCTTCTGCTACCGCCTTTCTTTTTCTGCGATCACAGCAGGATGCCCTCGGAAGGTCGTGCACAGGACACATAGACGGACTTCAAGACAGACGAACTGATCGACGACAGATTTGACCGCCCTGTCAATAGCCTGAGATGCGCTGAGAGATCTCAGTCTAGTCGTTGCTGTGTGCATATGAGAGAAAGCGGTGAAGCTATTGAGTGAGAGAGGGAGAGCGGTTAAACTATCGAGAGGTTCCCTGATGGGCTGACTGCGACTGGCTCCGTTTTGCAGCCTGACATGCAATGAGTGATTGGTGGCAAGTCTTTGTTCTGAGAGAGAGAGAGAGGTCTGCATTTGGGGACAGCTATTTCGTCCACAGAGTCTAGTGTTGTCTGCTTATAACTCAGACCGACACATAGTGGCTCAACTTTTGGATGATCATTTTTGCACAGTCTGCTAACACGGACCGACACGTAACGGTTCAACTGTTGGGTGATCACATGGTAGGTTAAAGAATGAGCCTGGATGAAGGGAAGTGGGCTGAACCTAGACTCTGTTTTGATCGTCAGCGGGTCCAGTTGAATTTGACCTTCCCGCGAATAGAACGTATGGTCATTGTCGGTGTATGACCTGTATCGAGACTGGAAGTTGCCCCCAGTACTGGTATAGCGTTCGGAGATTGTATTTGGGTGAAGATGGTAAGAAGAAGCTGGAACCGGAAGACGTCAGCATTTCACATTAAGATAAATTCTGGCTTTGCACGCGAATGTAGTCGCCTTTCAGTAAAGAACATCGATCTACTTGGGTATGAAAATACCTTAGAAACACACCCTCGTAGGGAATTTAGGTGGGAAATGGCTTAAGGGCATTTCTGTGGACGTTTCCTCATTAAGATAAATTCTGGCTGTGCATGCAAATGCAGTCGCCATTCAGTAAGGAACATTGATCTACTTGGGTATAGAATGACGGTAGAAACACACCCTCGTACGGAATTTAGGGGTGAAATGCCTTGAGTGTATTTCTGTGGACGTTTTCTTTCAGTTCATTTAGATGTGTTATACCCTTGATTTGAAATGCCTTAGATATAGCTATCTTAGAATTATACCCTTCTAGGTATGAAGTGCATTATGGGTATTTTTCTGGGGGCCAAGTCCCACTATCAGCGTTGAGGTACCTCAACGCCTGAATGTGGACGAATTTGCGGAGATGTGCAGAAATGGTGTTGAGTTTTCCTGAACTGCTCGTCTCCACAAACACGTCCAGATTCAGGCGTTGAGGTTGCTGAACGCTGCTAGTGGGACTTGGCCCCCGGCAACTGCCCCCTGTCAATGTAGGGGTGAAATACCCTTTCGAGATACTACAATATAGGCACTATAAAATAATAATTGGATATTCAGTACTGTAGTATTCATGAATATATTTATTTACTACAGAAGAATATAGATTCTTTTATTTCTTAATAAATTGAATATGAGTATTAAAAAATATATATATTCTCTTATTTCGATTAACATGTTCTGAAAGCACTGGATTTGGCCGCTCGTTTTACGACCCTGCGTTTCTTAGGGCGCAGTGCGAATTTTCTGTTTTTTTTTGTGTTTTTTTCTTCAATTTGGACTATTTCTCGATTTATGCTTGTCATCCTTGGAAGCGCAGGGGCCATGCTAATCTTCTCTGTATCGTTCCCGTTTTGACGGATGTCCCGAAGGACAACGAATCTTCTATTCTTATCTGCTTCTGCAGTCGAAAAACAAAAAACCAATAGTCACACAGCTGGCTTTGCTGTTTCTTTTTTTCTAACTTCAGATTCTCGTCGTAGCAGTTTCCAAATGAACACATAATACCATTCCTCTTGCCAGGCGAGTGCCGTCTCTTCCGTACAACAAAAGTGGTTATATCGTCCACGAGTTGAAACCCATTCACCGACGGTCGATCAGTGCGAAGGGAGGACAAAAACAAGAATGCATTTTAGGTACTCAGGAGACATGCCAATCGTCCGGTTACGACTCCGGACTACCCTCGTCCGCTTATCAATAACCTCTTTCCGAACTAGAGGAATATTCCAGGGGAAAACGACTTGCGCGCATTATCTACGAACTCGCACATTACTATCAGACTCATCATACACCAGTTCGACCACGAGTCGCTCTCTCACCAGTCCATGAAATTGGCAAACCACGGTACGTGACAGAGTTTGCCTTAGCCTACACCTTGTCCGTTTCTTGCTGAAGGCACCAGCTGACGTTAACGCCAAAACGAAGGAATAGAAAGAGGACGCACATAATCGAACTTGCGTAGGTGGATGACTCGACAGCTCGCTCAAAACTGGCTTCAGAGCGAACGACCGACTCAAAAACGCTAGAACAGACTCAAAAAGGCAACAATACTTCATTCTTAACGCAGCCTCGAGAGGAAACCACAGATCCACTGTACGCTCTCTTCAGCACCTGGCACTTGTCAATCCACACCGAGCCGCCAGGACAAACAACAACACAGCGATAGATACCTGATTGGGGGGGGACGTTTCTCGAGAATAGAAAACAAGCTGTTACTGAAATTCCTGTACTAGATGGAAACATGAGCAGCGAACTATTCTTATTTAAACAGACTGATCCTACCCGCCCATCGCGTCTGACTGTTTGCAACTTTTCTCGTAATCCAGGGCGCAGGTGTCTTGTACGCTGTTTCTTATTCGTAATATTTACAAAAGGAGAGAATAGCCGAATAAGAAACTTTTCACCCAACTCATCATCCGCTTCATAACATACACGTACAGGTATAGGGAAATAACTATGAACAGCAGTGCTTTGTAACCGCCGATACAACCGTTCATTTCTCTTCCCTTTCTCAACCAACTCGACACTACATGCACGGTATACATGTTCACTACAGCGGGTATGCAAATCTCTCGATGTACTCCCCACATACACATGTTGACACCATGGAGACAACAACACAAACGACCAACACATTGTCACTGTCGACATCATTGCCTCGCAGCAACACCTCCGCACAGTACTCCAAAACTTTACTGCCCCATGTAAAACTTTACTGCCCCATTTAATCTTCCCCAAGTTTATCATCAGTAAAATAATAAAACTCGCAAACAGATTCAGCAACTTTCAGCGCAAGAGTTAGTGGATACTGAACGGAACCGAGAACAAAGCCTTGAAAGTTCCCAAGCAGACGCCAAATTCGGGGAGGAAACTACGAAGTGGAGGATTCAGTGTTGTCCTCCGTCCTGTCATCATTGACAGGCTCGGCGTTTCGGACACGTCGTGGATGGAACCTCTGCTTTTCTAAAAGCAGCGACCACCTGTTTCTGCACAATCTCTTCCCTACTTATTTCCAGGTTAACGTACTTCAACCCTTCTTCCTCGCAGATCAACACAACATCATAATTTTTCATCTGCTTCGAAAAGTTTCGCTGCTCTGCTACGAAGGTATCCCGATTGACAACCGCCTTCCCCTTCGCTCTTTTGTAATAGGACACTTGCCCTTGTCAATCGTGGCAACGGCAACCCCCTCGTTTTCAAGTTCGATACAAGCGGTGTCCTCTTTTCCATCTCCAATTGTGCCATTTTCTCCTTTAGTCGTTCTACTTCTAGTCCAGCTGCTCGACGCCCTTCCACTTCTCGTAATCTCCATTCCTTTAGCAATTCAGTCTCCCTGTCCCGGTGTTGCTAACCAGCTCCCATATCCAGAC